TACCTTATCTATAAAGTGGAATAAATGGAATAATAATAGTGTTTTATTGGTAGAGTTGTTCAAATTAACTTAGATAATGTTTGAAATAGTAAAATTCATAGTCCGTACTAAGTGTAAATAACTTATTTTTTCTTATTTGTATTATCATTAGGCTTAGAAAGATCACTATCTTACTTGGGTTAGAGTGGAGTAAGAATAATTGCAGAGAGATCTGTTAATAATTCAGGCAAGAGATAATTTTGACCTGGTTTTGGGTAGTGGCAGAGGGATGGGGGGAAAAGATGCTGTTTAAGAGGATTTCAGAGGTAGCATTCTTGGCACTCACTTGGTGACTGAATGTGGGAGATGAGGGAGAGGGAGGAATAAAAGAGTCAAAGTATCTCAAATCATTTTTGGAATGACAGTTATATAAATCCATATCAGTTGCACTAAGATGATATGTTAATCAGTGTTTGAAGCTTATTTTTCCCATTTAATAAAGTTTTTTTCCAAATGTACAGTTGCTCTGACTTGTTCATGCATCTTCACCAGCAGCTGGAGCATCTCCACCCTTGGTATTTCTGGTATAGATTACTTGAGCTCTGTGCTTTGAGATCAGTTTGGTAAGACCTTTACTAAGGAGCTCCTGAGGGGCTGCCCTGGCCAGGGAGTCTCGAATCTTCAGTCTCTCAGACACCACAGCTGATGTTATAAGTTAATAGTTGGGAACTTCCTTACAGAGTTTGTCATAGGTAGTTTTGTCAAACGAGCTAAGTTATTGAGCTTGTCTCGAACTTTGCCTTTGGACCACTTCTTCTTTTTGGCCTTGTCCCCTGATTTGTTCACTAGGTCTTTGTTTTTCCTGGCTGACTTTCCAGTCTCTTTCTTCTTCTTGTAGTCCTTGGGTGGCATTGTGAAGCTCTTAGAGCAGTGGTGAACACTGCAGCCTCGCTAAGATGTCAGTAAAGCTAATTTTTACCAAATAATAAGTGATAGATAATGTCCACAGGTGAAACTTAAGAATTTGAAGGCTGGGCGCGGTGGCTCAAGCCTGTAATCCCAGCCCTTTGGGAGGCCGAGGTGAGTGGATCACGCAGTCGAGAGATCGAGACCATCCTGGTCAACATGGTGAAACCCCGTCTCTACTAAAAATATAAAAAAACTAGCTGCGCGTGGTGGCGCATGCCTGTAATCCCAGCTACTTAGGAGGCTGAGGCAGGAGAATTGCCTGAGCCCAGGAGGCGGAGGTTGCGGTGAGCCGAGATGGCGCCATTGCACTCCAGCCTGGGTAACAAGAGTGAAACTCCGTCTCAAAAAAAAAAAAAAAAAAAAAAAGAATTTGAAGAACTGAGATAATTTCTCATCTACAAGTAGTTAAATCTCTGAATAGGTTGGGAGAAAAAGAAATATAATTTGAACAAGTCTTTTCCCTTTTTTGTTACATTTCATTTCTTCTTCTGCATTTCTTTTTAATTCTGTCGTTTTATATTAATTATTTTGCTTTTAAAGTGATTTTAATTTTATTAAATTGAACCATATAGAAGTTGCAGTGTTTGCAGGTCAGAAAATATTTAACTAGCAGTGAAATGGTTAAGTATCGGTAAGTTCGTAATTATATTCTTGTTCTGTAAGAGGTTTTAGCTGGCGTTATGGAGTCCACTTTGAGTTAGATTGAGTACCAAAGACTGTCTGAAGGAATGTTGCTCTGATGGCATAAAAACAAGTGGAACAGAGCCCCATGAATTAGACAACTTCAACCCAGCATCATTCTTTCTTGCTAAGTTAATATGGCTATGAATACATAGAAACTGGAAAATTCAGACAATATAGAAAGCTATAGAGGAGAAAGATTTTTTTAATGACAGTTATCCCACCATGCAATGATAGTGTTGATTTTTAATGTAGCTCCTTTTAGTCATATATATATACAGAAAGTTACTCTGCCTTCATAATAAATAGAGAATAGATCATGAGACTGCATTATTTTATTTTTTATTGTATTTTTAATCAGCTTATAATGTACATATTTATGAGGCATATGATGTTTTGATACATATAGCATATAGTGATTAGATCATGGTAATTGTATACATACCCACCATCTCTAACATTTATCATTTCTCTATGCTGGGAACATTCAGTAACCTCCTTCTAGCTATTTGAAACTGTATGATATTAACTGTAGTCTTCCTACAGTAGTATAGAACACTAGAATTAAACTGTGTTATTTTAAAAAGGAAATGTACATACAGATTTTTGTTAAGGATACAGATTTATAGAGCCTCCTCAAGTCATTAATAATTTGTCTCTTTTGAAGAAAATGTTTTTCCTTAATCCAAAACAAAACATTTAATTCTTCATTGATTCAGTTAAATGTGGCTATTAGGCTTTTTTTTTTTTTTAACGTTTCTTAAATGAATGTTTTGAACTCTAGCTCCTAGAGTGATTTCACTAAAATAGAAATAAAGTTGAAAACTGTGCTAATGACAGTAATGTAACAGCTTGTAGTTTTATACAATTTTATAAACTTTTAATTCTTTCAAATTTCAGCCATTATATTGTCTGTTTTTATCAGCATAACTATCTTGTTTTATACATGAGAAGCCACAGAGCGAATAAGTTACATGCCCAAATTCACAAGTGGTAGTAGAAAGGCCTAGACTTTTACTTTGGTTAATTATTTTTCTGTTTATTGAAATACAGTAGTAACTCTCAAAAATCACTGCTTTATTCAGTATTTATTAAGTGTTCAGTGAATACGATGTAAAAATAGAGTCTATGGCAAGTGTATAGAATAAGGAGTATTGGCTGGAGGGCAAGGTATTTGGGGGAAAGTAAAATAATTGAGATCAGGGTAGAAGGGCAGTAAGGGAGTCTTAGACTCTTCTTTGACAATGGAGTACAATAATAATGTGTGCATATTGGATATTTAACTAGGCAGAAATGAAAAAATTTAGAAAAACGAACAAAACCGTAAGGAGGAAACACATTTGAGAACTGTTGTGGAAATATATTTTCAGGACTTGGTGGACTAAGAACAGTGCTTTGAGGGAGAGAGTAGATAATTCCTAAGTTTCATACTGGAATGCCTGGAAAAATGTTGGAAAATTACAGAGGCTTATTTGGTAGGAAAGGGGTTATTTATTTTGGACATGCTGTGGTTGAAATCTCTACAGGACATCCAGGTGGAAGATGTGTGACTAGCAGGCAAATTGTAGATGGAAAAGGGAGCTGAGGAGTGAAAGGGCTGGAGACCTAGGCAGAGAAATTATTTGTGTTGAGGGAAATAATTGATGCAGTATCATCATTCCTTCTTTCTAGGTACCTTCAGTGCTTTGCATATGCATAGCCTCAGTGTATTTGAGTAATGTGTGACAGAACTGTATTCAGATAGCTGTTGTATGACTTAAAACTGTACAGCCTCTCAGTAGGAGTGGGCACTTCAGGATTCAAAGGAGCCCAGCCTTAAGCATGTCAACACAATTGGCAGGAAACCACTGGTTCTTCAGGCAGGCTAATTTAGTTGTAGGAGCAGAAAGTAAGTAAAGTTACATACCTTCTCTCTGCTAGGTGTTGGTAAGCCTTTTGTATATACTTTATGTCTAAACAACCCTGTGAAGTAAGGAGTGTTGTTCCCGTTTTACAATAATGAAACAGAGGCTTAAGAGAGGATAAGTAATATTAGAGCAAGAATTTGAACCTTCAGTGTTCTTTCAATGCTATTGGTCTTTTTACTGTGCCACACTTTGCTCTGTTTCGCAATAAGACCTGTCAAATATTATGATCAGGCTTATGCTTAAGGAGGTTTTTTATTTTGGCATTATGGCTGCATCTGGGACTGGCCAGACAGCTGCTGCTGCTTCGGATTTAAAATGTAATTCATTGCATTCTGATTATGGGTGCCCATTTATCTGTAATAAGAAAACGTGTATAAAATGAATAAAAATGAAAGTTGGATCACATGTTTTTGCTCAGGTGCATACATTTTGGAATGCTTTCAAACACCAACATTTGTTTATTGCCTTTTACTCTGCTGGATATGTGGAACTTTATTTAGAAGGATTAATTGAAAGTTCAGAGATCCCTGGAGGAAAAGATACTAAAATTACACATTTTCATAACACACTGTTAGCTGAAAATTGTCAACATTTATGACATTACCAGGAAAACCACAATCTAATCCCAGTTTGCATTGTTTTAAGTAGGCAGAAACAAGATTGTATATTCTAAGATACAAAGGCCTATTTGTGCCATGAAACTTCCTGTAATATACATGCCTTAGTAGAAGAAGGTACATTCACTTTTCTGTCTTTTGTTTATATTCTTGTATACTGCTCAGCAAATTTGAAGCAAGAAACAGCATCTCAAAACTATAGGGTAGTGTCAAATGCAGGAACAATGTAATTTCTCTGTGCTATTTGTGTAGTATTCAGAATAGGAGATACTTTATTTTTCTCTTGTAAAGTGATTTTAAAGTTTCTTGGCCAATATTCAGTGAATCATGAGAGACAAAATTAATGAATAGCCTTCTAGCTAGAACTTCTTGTACAGCTGAATTATGTTTCTCAGTTACCATACGCCATACACTTAAAGGAAGTTAACATGCTTCCTTTCTTTAATATTGCTCTTTGTTCTTTGGGAAAATGCCATAAGAAAATAGGAAGTACCCCTCTAGTAGTGTGTGTTTCAGTCTAATTACTGACACTGACACCCTGTTCTGTTACTACCCCTTCTCCTTGCTAGCAGCCTGAATTCTGCTTATCTGCTAACAGGGGGATTCCAGACAGACGAGGAAACAGCTTTCAAATGATATACTGCAGGCGTACCAAGCTATTCCCACACTGTGCAGTCTGGAAATCAGGGGGCACCTCTTTGACGATGAATTCCAATTAGTTGCTAAAGATGCCAGAATGTGTGCGTGTACAGGCGTTTTCTTTCCCCTCCCCCTTTCTTCCTTTTTCCAAGCCCCCTCTTCTCCCTGTTTCCCCTCCTACTCCGTTATCCCCTCCCTCTGTGTCTCAGTTCTGCAGTACGCGGGGTTGAAGCACATTCCTGCTCTGCAAGGCTTTCTGTTAAGGATGTATTGTGGCTTTTGTTTGGATTGCAGCATGCAGAATTACAGGTAACATTCTGAAATTGAACTAAACAGTAAATTCTGTTGAAATGTTTTCAAAGAGGCAAAATATTATATTGGAATCAGTGAAGAAAATAAATTATCTTGGCTAATTTTATTAGTGGTGATTGTAGTGAAAGATTTTCGTAAGTGTTATAAGCAAATTCCTTTTTTCCCCCAAGTCTCAAATGAAAGGAAATGGGGGTAAATCAATCTGACTGTGATTCATTTTGTTTTATGCTGATCTTGAAAGCTTGATGTTGCTGCTGCTACTCTGTACCGTACGGATCAGTTATATGGGGTGCTATTGTGGGTAGCCATGAATAGTGGTGCCAGTAGGGGTGGAGTGGGAGGGATGGTGCCAGCCTGAGCTAGCCAGGTTCTTTGATTAGGGCATTGGATGTGAAATGTAAAATGCTCTCTCCTTTTCTTCTATCAGCTGTTCAGAGGAGACTCATTACAACTCCTGCTGAAGCTCCTAATCTTCTTCCCTTCTCTTCTGCCCTTTCCCCCTACCCTCACTTGGCCTGAAGACGTTGTCCCCAGAGTTTGCCTTACTCCCCTGGTGCTATGTGTATGGTGAACTTGGCATTATGGCCGCGTTTGGAACTGGCCAGACAACTGCTGCTGGCTCTCCTTATTCCAAGAAGGATTTAAAGGGGAATTGCACTGCAGGCAATGCACCACAGCAGCAGCATCAGGAGCTTGGGGACTAAGGCTCCTCTGGCATTATTACATACATGCAAAGCTGACCGCAATGACAGCGGCTGCTCCTTTGAACTGTTGGAAGCAGCCAAGCGGCAGCATGAAGTGACAGATCACTCCTGAGCTCAAGATGAACTCCACCTTGGATGGTAATCAGAGCAGCCACCCTTTTTGCCTCTTGGCATTTGGCTATTTGGAAACTGTCAATTTTTGCCTTTTGGAAGTATTGATTATTGTCTTTCTAACTGTATTGATTATTTCTGGCAACATCATTGTGATTTTTGTATTTCACTGTGCACCTTTGTTAAACCATCACACCACAAGTTATTTTATCCAGACTATGGCATATGCTGACCTTTTTGTTGGGGTGAGCTGCCTGGTCCCTTCTTTATCACTCCTCCATCACCCCCTTCCAGTAGAGGAGTCCTTGACTTGCCAGATATTTGGTTTCGTAGTATCAGTTCTGAAGAGCGTCTCCATGACTTCTCTGGCTTGTATCAGCATTGATAGATACATTGCCATTACTAAACCTTTAACCTATAATACCCTGGTTACACCCTGGAGACTACGCCTGTGTATATTCCTGATTTGGCTATACTCGACCCTGGTCTTCCTGCCTTCCTTTTTCCACTGGGGCAAACCTGGATATCATGGAGATGTGTTTCAGTGGTGTGCGGAGTCCTGGCACACCGACTCCTACTTCACCCTGTTCATCGTGATGATGTTATATGCCCCAGCAGCCCTTATTGTCTGCTTCACCTATTTCAACATCTTCCGCATCTGCCAACAGCACACAGAGGAAATCAGCAAAAGGCAAGCCCGCTTCAGCAGCCAGAGTGGGGAGACTGGGGAAGTGCAGGCCTGTCCTGATAAGCGCTATGCCATGGTCCTATTCCGAATCACTAGTGCATTTTACATCCTCTGGTTGCCATATATCATCTACTTCTTGTTGGAAAGCTCCACTGGCCACAGCAATCGCTTCGCATCCTTCTTGACCACCTGGCTTGCTATTAGTAACAGTTTCTGCAACTGTGTCATTTATAGTCTTTCCAACAGTGTATTCCAAAGAGGACTAAAGCGCCTCTCAGGGGCCATGTGTACTTCTTGTGCAAGTCAGACCACAGCCAACGACCCTTACACGGTTAGAAGCAAAGGCCCTCTTAATGGATGTCATGTCTGAAGTGGCTCAGATATGGGGTTTCCCTGTGTATGTATGTGTTTTATCTCTAGGTATTTCTAATTCATTAGGAAATCTGGGACAGAATACTTTGACTCTAAGCAATAGCATACAAATGGTTTGTATGGATACTTTCTAAGTTTGTAGAAATGGTTTTCAAAAGTGCTTTTGAAGACTCAAGATCATGAAGACAAATTGCTCTTGGTTCCAATTTTTGAAATGTTTTGGAAATGACTACAGTTCTCAGATTTAAAATGAATAAAGCCGTATCTAACACCTCTCTCCAGCTGGCATGACTGAACTTGAGTGTGAAAAGCGTCAGCATTTTGAAAAGTCATCATTTTCTTGTCACTTTCTGGGTTCTTTCCAGCTATTTGGGCTTCATGTGCCATTGATTTCTTCTAACAGGGAATAGTAAAATATAAATTAAGAGGTTTTAGAAATTACTTTTTATGTATGCTGAAGTATAACTACACTGTAAGTTTCAACACTGTCATTTAGAAAGCCAAATGTTCTATGTTTTATTCTCTTAAGAGAATTCTCAGTAGGGTGAGTAATGTGAACACATAAACATTAATTTTAGAATTTTACAGTGAACCATGAAGCAAAAGTGCAATCAACTTATACAGTTTATGAAAAACTGAGCTATTTTTTGTGCCATGCTTCACAGAGATCTGAAGTTAAGTGTGCATAGAAGTGATCATATTTGTTGTATTTTTGCCCATGCCTTTGTGTTATGTCTATATTTAGAATATCTGAATTATTAGATTTCTCTTTTATAGCAAAATGTGTTTAAATAAGCTAAAAAACAATTGATAGGCTGTTGGCTGTCGATTTTATGCTGGTGACGATATACAAAAATGTGTCATTGATATTCTCTGTTCTTTCTATCCAAAGACTTCTGAAACATTAGAACATCAGGGAGAAGGGTATCTGTCATAAGCAACTGAGTCAGAAAGTATACTGTAGTATACTCTTTGTTTTAAATAGAAAGGAGTTGAGACATTTTCTTTGTAGTTAAATGGAATCAACTAATTATTTTTGAAAAGTATTCTTTCAGTTAGTATTAAAGAATCCACATATGAAGAGGGGAAGGGGAAACTCCAAGTCTCGTATTGCTATTCTCTTTCTAGAAAAAAAAATCCTTTGGCGGGCCGGGCACGGTGGCTCAAGCCTGTAATCCCAGCACTTTGGGAGGCCGAGGCGGGTGGATCACGAAGTCAAGAGATTGAGGCCATCCTGGTCAACGTGGTGAAACCCTGTCTCTACTAAAAAAAAATACAAAAAATTAGCTGAGCATGGTGGCGCATGCCTGTAATCCCAGCTACTCAGGAGGCTGAGGCAGGAGAATTGCCTGAACCCAGGAGGCGGTGGTTGCGGTGAGCCAAGATCACACCATTGCACTCCAGCCTGGGTAACAAGAGCGCAACTCTGTCTCAAAAAAAAAAAAAAAATCCTTTGGCATACAGTTCTTGGTAGCCTTTTTTTTCCCCTTCCAGAGTATTAGCAAAACCTACTGGATTTTATTCTTCTGTAAAATTATTATTGAGAGTTATGTGAGTTTGTATGTAGTAGTCATGTTGGTTCTTAAAAGTGATTATCTTTAGAGCAAGAGGTTTATTTTTCTAAAAGGAGAGAAGAAATTCCGGCAGCTCCAGGCATGAGAGTATTTCCTCTACTTTTGTGCTGGTTTTAATGTTTTGAAAATCTTCAGGGGACTTACTTGAGCTCTCCCTTTGGTTAGATGTTGTAATCTGAATGCAACAATGGTGATCAGTGAGATGGAAGATGGAAGAAACCCGGGGAACATGGGTTAAAGTAGATTTCTGAATCCAAGAAAGGATATGGGTATTTATAAAACAGGCAGATAGGCTTTGGTTTTCCATCATGATGCCAGTGTTCTTATGATTTTAGGCTTTAGACATCAACTTGACTTTAACCTCAGTTGTGTTCTATTTAAACTTTTTTAAGTGACTAAGCATTATATAAACATTCGAACTTCAGATTCTGGGTTTTTCCCAAAAGCTTGCTTGCTGTTTATGTTTAGGGTTAGCAAATTTTATTCTAAGCTGTTTCAAAATTTAGAACTCATACTAAAATCGCAAGTTATGTTAGAAACGGCTTGGTTAAATTGTCATTTCATGTGGGAAAACTTCTCTGTTGGATTCTGAAAAATCTTTGTATTGTATACATCTCCCCTTTAAGTGGTATAGATTTTTAAAAAACCAAAATGTACCTTTTCTTGTATATGTTAGAGAATGTAACCTGTTAACATTTGCAGTTTGCTTATGAATTTTTAGTTTAGAAAATATGGCAGTTTAAAACACTTATTTTTGTAGAAAAATTTGTTAAATCATTAGCTTTGATCTGATTTTGTTTTGTGTATATGTGTTGGGGAAGAGGAGATGCTCCTGGACACAGTAATGTCCTCTTCAGTGACTGGGGGTGTTTTCTATGTGATAGGTTTGGAAAGTTCATGTTTAACTGATCTTTTCATCCTGCAATATTTAATGCAACATTTGATGACATTTAGTTTAAATACCAGTCAGACTTCAAAAAAAAGTATATTTTTACACTCAGTTACCTTGGCGTTGATAGGATAGCTCATTTAACTTTATATTGGATGTGACTGGTATCAGAGGAAACGTAAGCTTTTGGTGATTACATTGAAATTATTTCATAGTAAATTTTAAACTAGACTAATGTTAAATTTGTAAACTAGTTTCAGTGAAAGTGGTTTGTTTTTTGCCCCCTTCTTAGATTAGAAGAGCAATTAGAAATAAATTAATGTGCTCTTCTTTAGCGAGAGCATGATCTTAACACTAGAATGGATATTTACATTTTTTTCATCGGCCTGTTGACTCTTACCCAAAATTTCATTTTGGAAAAGGTTTTCTTTAAGTTTTATTGCTGGATAAATTCTTTTCAAGCCTTTTATGATGGCTTTGCCTTTTTACTTGAATAATAGTCTCAGTTTTTTAAGGATTGGGAAAACTTGAATTTTTGTGCCATAAATGCATTGTCCACCTCCTTGAACTTGAAAATGAAGCAACAGGGTTATAGACTCCCAGATGGTGGAGTGGTTTCTGGGAGAGTTTTTTCTCAGCGTTTCAGGTTTGTTTGAAAAATCTGCACAGTGACTTGGTATAGGAATTATCTTAATTTCACTGACTGTATTTTTGTTTCATAAGTGGTTCATGAAATAAATTATCAGCATGCCAGAATTTATTGTTATATGAGCAAAGTTTGGGAAGATTAAGAATGGGAAATTTGTGGCATTGAGATTTTTTTAAAGTCCTCATAAGTCATTTTGTATGTTGATTTTTGTGTAATTTTTTTCATTTCGGGTAGAAGAAAAACTAAATATAAGTATTTATATTAAATTTAGATATTATGTTGCAGACCTTGGAAATATGGTAGACATTTCTCATGGCTGTAAACAAGTCATTTGGCTTTTCTTCAAAATTTGCATGACAAAACGGCATCATATAGTAAAAATGAAGTTGGAACTGAGAATTTTAAAATGTAGATTTCTGTTTCTAAGTAGTTTTGTAAATGAGGACAAGTCACTTCTCTAAGCACTTAATTTCTTGTAAAAGGAAATATTGATCCCTTCATACCTCATACCATTAGTTCGAAGATTGGGTTAAATAATGGATGTAAAAGTACTTTGTAAATCGTAAAGTGCTTTGCAAATAAAAATGATTACTATTATTTGTATCCACCATTCGTCTACATGTAAGGAAGCCATGTATCATGATGTGTTCCCTCACACTTAGATCTTTGAAGCCCAATGCTACATCACTGCTCTTTGCTACTTAGCAATCCCAGACCTGAGACGAGAAGCAAAATAAATACTCACCCTCCTAAAATGATAGTAGCTTTAAATTCAACATAAAACCACTTTGATTTACTTGTCTTCAAACTCTCTGAAGGCAAGGGACAGTGTCTTTTGTCTGTCTGGATAATATTTTTTATCCCCACAATCTGATATGGGATCTGGCTCAGAGCAGAAGTTTTACAGAATGAATAAATGACTAATTATTGCATCTAGTCACTAGCCTTTTTCTTTCTATAAGGAATTATGGGACAGTGATGTTCAGAAGATAGTCCAGAGCCCCATAACCAATCTTTCATTTACCCTAGGTTATTTCAGATTTTAAATCTCAAATAAAATATTTTTGGTATCAAGAGATTAGTGTGGTAATGTGAGTCCTCTATATGCTTAGGTAACTTTACTCCTGGAAACTCAAGCTTTGGCCCAGAGAGCTTCAGGCAGTGCTTTCAAAGTTGCCATTTTTTTCACAGCGTGGATTAGGTATTTGGATCACACCTTCTTGGCTCTGGATCCAGATAAGGCTCTGTAAAATTGGTGACGAGGGCAGAGGAAGTATAGAAAGCCTTGGTGAAAGAAACTTTCTGTGTGGTTTTGCTTTGTCTCCCTTTCAGCCTTTCCCAGTTTTCTAGGTCTGTCTTTCCTTCTTCCTTTCTTTTCTTACCACACTATTGCTCATGTATCCAGAAAGAAGTATTTCTTTGATACCGCCATAGGGTGTGGAAAATTGTGTTATAAGAGCAGTGGGTTTTTTGGGAAAGTTTAAGAAACAATCAAGAAGCATTTCTCTGGCAAGTTCTGCTGTATGCCAGGTAATGTAACTAGCCTCAGGCAGGGATCATAGGAGGATCATTTCTTTCTTATAGAACTATATAGTCTTTAGGTGTTCCATGTGGAAAAATTCTGTGATTATCAGTCTTCAAGGAAGCTCAATGTTCTCTACTTTATCTGCAAGAATTTACCAAGGCTTCCTGGTGGGCTACTCCCACAGCACTGTGTTTTTTTTTGGTTGGGGGTGGGGGTGCAATTATATGATGCTGGTATATAAAATCATAATGTTACTTTATTAATTTAAGAAATAGATGCTGGTGATTGAGCACAGTCTTCTCTATTAGTAGATAGTTATGGGAAGCCAAACCATATTTTGAAGGTTGCTTTGTGGGAATGGAATCTCAGAACATGGTTCTGTAATGTGAACATTATTGGGATCATAGTAAAAGATGAAATCATTCCTGCTTCCATTATTAACTAACCTACCTTCTCATTGACATGTTATGGTATT